GGGTCCACCCCGCAGGTCTCGAGCACCTGAATCACGTCGTTGACGGACAGATGCTGCCCCAGAAGTCCATCGAACGCACAAACCCGGCCGCTGACACAGGTGCGGTGCTGTTCCAGTGGCGCAGGGCCGATGACTGTCAACGTCCCAGCTCTCAAATGAAATCTCGACGAAGTTCCTTGGAGCAAAATGCAATGGTGCACGGGGCACCTAACAGTATCATTTGATCTCGGATAAGACATCGAAACCTTGATAGCGCCTCCCTACACCTAAAAAACGCGATGATGCATCATTTTGCAGGATGTGCATGTCTTCATTGCTCGTACATGCAAAGAATGCGAGCAGTGCGAAGTTCGTTTTGCTCACGGTAAGTAAAGGACTTGGCGGTCGACAACAGTCTGCGGAATCCAACCCCTTCCATACCACCGACGAGGAATGCCGCCTGCCCTGACAAGTTCCCCACACACTCACAGTCCATTGTCAGGATATGAGCGTAACAACACCATTCAACTACCATGAAACTGTAAGCCCTTCAGAACTTTAGCCTGTGCCAAGGTTCCACAGACAGGTCCGGCTGACCCCACGCCAGGCAGCCCAGCGCACCAGCACAAGGAATAGACTCCACCTGGAGATGTGACTGGCACCAGTCCCCACGAGACTCGCGCTCCACTGGAGCTCACCTGTGCAGTCACACCTGCTCCGGGGAATCCCTCGATGGCTCCAGCATCGTGACCGCAGGTTTGCAACACAGCAAAATAGTTTGCAACGGACACATAAGTCCCTGTGATTCCCTCCAGTGTGCAAGGCAATCCGCTGATGCATGTCTTGGCTTGCTGCAAAGGATGGGCTCCGATGATTGTCAGCATGCCCACGTCAGTCCTAAACTCCGAGTGATCTTCACATTGTGACACAAGACCTGAACACCAACAAAGCCGGTAAAAGCCGCCGGCAGCTAGAATCGGCGAAGTGCCCCAGCTTACCACGGCAGTGCCGGTCTGCGAAGCAGTAACTTGAGCAGGTGGCAGTGATGAAGGCGGCAGATGGGTATCACCGCAGGTCTCTGACAGAAGAATGCGGTCCTGGCTCGAGATGTACTTGCCAAGGAACCCTTCGAACTCGCAGGAAAGGCCGCTGACGCACGTCCTGTCTTGCCTCAGTGGTGCTGGGCCCAGAAGGAGCAGTCCGCCCATGTCCGTGGTGAACTCAGATGCTGAAGCGCAAGCTGTGGTAGAAGCGCACCAGCAGAGTCTGTACTGACCACCGGCAGCTGTAATGATGCTCCATGTGGCAAGGCCATCGTCCACCATGTCTGAAGCACCAAAGTTGATAAATCTGGGGACAAACGCGGCTTTGTCGCTGCCACAGGTGTCGGCAATCAACATGTCATTGGTTCCCATGTGCTCTCCAAGCAGTCCGCCTAGATGGCACCGCTGACCACTTGTGCACGTGCGGTCTTGCCGCAGAGGGCTTGGGCCAATTATGTCAAGGGTGCCAATAGAAACGTGAAAGTTTTCCGCATCCAGACAAGGTCCGGGAATCATCGAACACCAGCACATCTGGTAGGTCCCACCAGCTGCTGAAACAACATCTGTCTGAAAAGCGCCCAGCAGAGATTCAGAATTTGAGCTTGGCGGAGGTGATATGGGTTCTGCCCAGAGTCGAGGCAAAACACCGTGAGTTGCGCATGTTTCCAGAATAAGTAGACGCCCAATTGACCAATCAAATTCACCATGAAAAAGCAAATCAGACAATCGACATGTCTGGCCCGAGACACATGTTCGGCGCTGATCTAGCGGCGAGGGTCCGAGCAATAGAAGCGATCCGAAATCCGTCCGGAAGTTTTCGGGTCGTGCACACTCGCTGGGCAAACCGCACCAACACAAGCGGTACTGCCCACCTGATGCAGATACCCTCGGAAGCATGCCAGAAGCGAGAAGCCCTGCGTTGGGAAAGCCAACTGCAGCAGCGGACTGACCACATGTGTCTCGAATGGCAATCTGATCGTTGTCGTTCAGGAAAACTCCTGTAAAAGAGCCGACCAGACAAGTGTACCCACTCACACAAGTTCGGCTTTGCATCAATGGCGAAGGTCCGATGATGAGAAACTCCCCGGCATCCACCCGAAAATCCTCTTGGATGCCACAGGAATGTGTGGCGGCACACCAGCATAATCGGTATACGCCTAGCAATGAGACAACTGAAAGCTGCTGAAACATGGAACATGACACGAAAAAACAGACATTACTGGATGTCACAAGTTACGCACACAATCATCAGCCCCATGGCCCCGATGAATCGTTGCAGCTAAAGTGCCACCAGCAGCTGAAATCGTCTCCGGACCCCAACCAACCGTGGCACCGTGGACTTCTGCAGACAGGGACTGACCACGGGGAACTCGCGATACCCAGCCAGTTCCGCAGGTATCCTGCAAGGCATAAACATCACCAACGCTTAAGTACTGTCCCACCAGCCCGTAGATTTCGCAGGTTTGTCCGGAAATACACGTATAATCGTTTCGGCCATAAGGGCCAACAACCTGCAACGCGCCGATGTCCGTCTTGAACTCTGCAGCGACCCTGCATGCAGAGTCAGCGGAGCACCAACAAAGCCTGTATTGCCCCCCTGCGGAGGTGCTGTCGCTCCAGCTCAATAAGGCACCACTTGCATCAACAGACATTGTCAGCCCCGAGTCTGCAAACCTCTCTACCAATTGATGCTCTGGCCCTAGGTGATCTTGACCACATGTGTCCATGACGAAGACCCGATCTAGAGAGTTCAGGAGACCAGACACATGGACGGTGCAGCGAGCCCCAGAGACGCACGTCCGGTCTTGCTCCAGGGGCTCTGGACCTGCTATCAGTAGATGCGCTGCTGTCACCTCGAAGTGCTCCCCTGAGGAACATGTTGCGACAGCAGAACACCAGCAGAGCCGGTACTGGCCTCCTGACGAACTCGTTGCGACCTCTCCAAAATACACTGTTGCCCCACTTCTGGCCACATTTGATGAAAAGCCTCCATTCCCAAAACGTGCGACCGTAGCATGATATCCACACGTATCCAGAACTGCATACCTATCCTGGTCGGTAAGATGCATCCCGGTGATGCCATGAATTACACAGCTTAAGCCACTGACACATGTCCGCTGCTGCAGGGGATCCGGTTCCGCTGTCAGTTGACCAGCTGCCGTTGGTCCAGGACCGATCAGAGTCATTGAGCCAACATCGACCCTGAAGTCCTCCCCGCCATCGCACGGCATGTGCTGTTCAGCCGGACCAGTGTAAGCCACACACCAGCATAGCCTGTACACACCGCCAGCTGCCGAGACAGCAACATCACCCCAGGAGAAATTTTGATCAACGGCCGGATACGACCTTCCAGAGTTCGGCCAATTCTTCAAGACCCCCGCTTCGGAACAGGTGCCCAGCACCATCACTCTGTCCCCGTCTGTGAATGTACCATCTAAGTCGATGGAGCAGGAAAGCCCTGCCACACAAGTCCTGTCTTGCCGCAGCGGCGACGGTCCCACTGCTAGTCCAGCTGAAGACTGGTTCTCCACCTCAGACCACAACAACCTGAGACCTGTCTGCCACATGGTGAAAACTTCTGGTCGAGTCGCTTGGCTCAGGCGCCGTGCAACGACAGGCTCGTCTCCTTGCACTCGCAAAGCAAATGATGAACTGGCACTTCGGTACGTGGCTGCGCAGTGTCACAGTACCTGCTATCATATGTCATGGTATCAGTTTGGGCCTGCGCTTTCATCTTCCAGCTCCCGGGCTGCCAGGAGCCGCATGGAACCAATCAAAACCTGAGCAATGCCAACATGGCCGAGAAAAAGCAATGTCGGATCCTGCTGTATGGAGCGAAGCTGGTGCTTTCCGAGGCAACTGTGCAAGACAGCTTAAGGCTGCAACCGAATACTCAGCACAATCGGCTTCCTTCGCCTTGTTCACAGACCGGCGTGTGGAGCCGAGACTTGCCCAACACATCCTCAAGGGCACAGCTGGCAAACATCTCCGCCGACGAGAATCTTGCACTTGATGCATGCTGGATACGTGTAGGTGCCAGGTGGAAGCTTGGGAATGCCAAAGTTGTAGAAGGCGTGGTCCTTGCGACACACACAGCTCTGTGGTGAGAAACTTCCATCCGCAGCAAGCGACAACACAAATCATCGTACCGGCTGCCTCTGCAGAAGGCCGGTATGGCCTGCAGGCCACTGTGTATCGCTCCGTTGCTTTGGCGTTCTCCACGCAAACTGAATATGTCATGATACTGAATTACGCTGAAGTCTGTTCGACTGCACTCCGAAAGCGGCCGCCCGACAAACTGCAGCGTCACGGACTGAACACAGACAAGACAGGGGAGAAAAGGGTTGGCAGGTCTTGAAACTGAAACCACACAAAAAAGGAAAAAAAAAAACATCAAGCCAGAAAGGGAAGCGCCCCACGTCCCCGGCATCCGGCCCCGTGTCCCTCACGTCCCACCCCTAGTCGCGGATGAGGATCTTCTGCGATAGGGTCATCTTTGAGACAGTGTTTCTTCGTAGATAGGGTCTCCTGTCTTGGCTTGCTTGGCTTGTAAACAAATGTCCCGCGCTTCTGTTGCCCCCCGCCCCCCTTGTCCCCCTGGCCCCGGTTCGGCGCCTTCCGTCCTCCTCGTCCGCTTCGCGCCGTGTTATCCACGTTCCTCGAGTGCCCCGTGCCTCCTGCCCGCCCCCTTTGCGTTCCTCGCGTCTCGCGTCAGAAGCCCTAAGCAGAGCTTAGCCACGAGTAGCTTCGGCCTTTGGCCCCTGTTCGGGCACTTTTCCCGCACAGTACAGATACGAGAACCGATAGGATTCGTTGATGCAAATGGCCAACTAGCATCTCCCACATGTCGGCCTGTACGATTCGGATACGATTTCTTTACGAGAATCAATACGAGATCATTTCGAGCAAATACGATTCGGACAAGATTCCAGACACAACTGCGGATGTGACTGACGACTTACATAACTTAAGATACGCTTTAGCATTTGGACCAGAGGTCGAGACACGGGTCCGAAGTAGAACTTGGCCTCACTCTACATCACTACAGCAAGCAGAATGACAAGTGCAACAGCCACTGAGCTACTCTGGGCTGCAAGGATTCCCACAGATGCACGGATCACCCGAACCCACAGGCAAACCTGTGTAAAACATATCTATCTTCGAAGCAGTGTACAGAAGACGCTATAAGAAGGTAGAAACGGGGTCGCGTTGTAAACCGTATTCAAGGAGTTATCAAGCCGTATCCCAGGTCATATCGGATCCTGAATCCAAAACCACTTGAAACCGTAAGTATCCCTAGACTATGCGACCGGCACATCGCTGAACCGAGTCCAAACCATATTGAAAACGTAGGAAGAAATTCCAAAACATAAGCCCACCTGAATGAAACCAGGACTGGGACTGAAAAAGCCCCGAACCTCAAACCGGTACCGTGGAGAGGTAGCCCGAAACCGCAGAAGGACACGGTGTCACACAACTGGTGGCCCTCCTTGACATTCTCCCCGAACACCCGAGTCGCCTGACCGTCCCAACACAACCCCTAAACCCGAAAATCAATCAACGCAGGACACCGCAGCCCTCAGCCCTAAGCCCCTGGCTGTACGGGCAAAGGCCTAAGCCCAAACAGAGCCCGAGATATTAGTGGACCGTTGCACCAAAAAGACCAACATAAGTAAACATCGCACACCGGGATACCGGGAAGAAAGCGAGAAGTTTGCTGCTGAGCCCACGATTTTTCCGTGAAGGTTCCCCGGTCGTGCTGAGCTGTCCGACCGAAAACCCAAGTTCTGCAGACTTGAAAGCGAGTCGTATGATTTCTCCTGAATGATGCTTGGTCGTGATGTCATAATTCCAGAGTTCCTGGGCCTTAGCCTGAGTGCAAGGTTTGTTCCTTGCTTCGGGGCCTGGGAAAGCTAAAATCTTGCGGGCTTCAGCTTGGCTCTGGCCCTGCATGCGGCTTCCAAAATCTTGTCAGCATACACTTTTCTGACGGACGGATCTTTTCGAGCTTAGTTTTTTGCTTGGTCCTGGTCCCCCCTTGTTGTTTTGAAATGTTGTGCTTCCTAGGGTACGGGACCTAGATGGTCGGAGCTCTTCAGGGGTTGTTAGACTTGCTCTGATGCGGTGGTCCGTCTCTCGTCGAGTACGGTTCCGGAATGGCTTAAAGGTGATGAGCCTGGCATGTGCATCTCCGAGGCACGAGTAAGGCTCGAAAACGTTGAAGTCGCAGAACCCGAAACCAAATGGGTAGTTCTCTAAATTAGGGTCCCTTTTTAGGTCCCAAATATAGTACGGCACCCTTATGAAAAGGACCCTAAAAGGGACCCTAATTTAGAGAACTACCCAAATGATAAACTTCGAACAAGGCCCAGGCCGTAGATTCGTTAGATACGCCGAGGGCATGTTCGCCCACACACCGGCAAAATCCGGCAAACGAGCTTTGTTTGTCACCGAATATGTGTGGTCGCCCGTGAATTGCACAAACAATAAAATCTTGAAATCTAGAAAAATCCTGACGAGGCAGAACCAGATTGGTGAGGCACACTGTCGAACCCAGTCGAACGGAGCAGGACAAGGAGACCGACATGTGACAGCTCCTGGATTAGCAATCCCGGGCGAGAAACTCAGGATTATCCACAGCCCGAAACTGTTGGCCATACCGGAACCTTCAGCCGAAAAACCAAAGTACAATCGGAGTAAAGGCAAACGATATCATATGCTGGACCAAAAAATTTGAGGCAACCCCAAACCGAAATCACTCTCCAGCTGGCCAGAAACCCTCAGCCAAACAAAGGCCACCTCCGCAAAAGAAGTCGGAGGGAGATGAAGGCACACGATAATGATGCAACGATGGCTGAAGAAGTCTTACGAGCGTTGGAGTTACGTCGGCAGCAAGAGTAGGGAAGCGAAACCAAAAACGTCTGGCTCATGTGAACCGTAAGCCACAAAGTGGGCATAGTCTCTGATGAGCCCGTCCGTAATCCTACAGAAAATGCTGACCGTAACCAGAAACTGCAAGCGCTCGCGAAGCAAGGTTCGAAGGCATGCAAGCTTTGCTTTTTGAGCGCAGTGGGACAAGACACAGCAGAAGAATCGGGCATCTTGGGCAGATACCGTAAACCCAAAAAAGTCGTGGCCACCTTGACCCCGACAATAAGCAAGACTCCGGACACCGAGGCAGGAATGGCAGGATCACACCCCACACTAGACAGAACACCTTCAACTCCAAAATGAGCTAACAGATCGGACAAGGATTGAAAGACCTACAAGACGGAAAGGTTTTGGTAAAGCACCGGAAAAATATGGTAGTAAATCGGATGTCGGAATAGAATTAGAATGCCCTAAACCCCAAAATGTCCTCTATCTCATCACCAACGGCAAGCCCGTAACGGCTTAGCCAAGAAACGCGAAACCCTGGAGTAAGCCAAAAAATGGATGCCGGACCAGTTATTGTCTTCACCCCAACAGGCTCTAGCATTCCCAGAACCCTCAATCGAAAAGATACCCGCGCAAGGACAAAATACTCAAATACCGAAGCCAAATCACAAAGTCTGGCATCTCGGATCGCTAGACCGAACAGAAACTATTTCTAGCACGCCCCAGGTCAAGAAAACATATTATCCAAGCACCGAAGCAGGACTGGGAAACCGTCAGCCGAAACGGGTCACCCTGCATACAATCTAGAGATGGCAGGCAAAGGTGGGTGTAATGAATGTAATGGCCACGGGCCACAGGCCAGGCCAGAACTCAACAAAAAGCGTTGGTTGGCCAGGCCCGGGGCCTGAAAGGAGATGGTGCCGAATCCTAAACCATCTAAACCCCCAAAAAGAAGATGCAAGCCGGCCAAGCCCTAAAAGGAGAAACCCCAAACCCCAAACTTGAATTATGTTGGCAATCCCAAGAAGAACTAAAAGACGAATACACCAGGAACCTTCGAGGAGTTGCTGGCAAGACTTGAATTATGTTGGTCTGCAATCACCCTGAAAGGAGACCCTAAACCCTAACAAGAACTGTTGATTGGATAGCTCCAAGCGTAAAAAAAAGCCTGGAAACCCCAAAACCCGCAAACCAGATGTTCAAGGAGTTCCAAAGCCCCTATACGAGAGGATACGTCGCAAATCTTGAAACCTAAATGCAAGCACGAGTTCCCCAAATCTCAAGGCACAGCAGCAGATGCCCCACAGTCTTCTGTGATCTTCACAACATTCGCAAGGCTACCGCCCGCAACAAATCGTGATTTTCACAACAAACAAACACAAGGCCTTTGACAAATCGCACATAATCGCAGCGTTTGCGCACAAGCCAAGGCCCGTAACAATTTCAGCCCTTAGTTCTTCTGTGATCTTCACACTATCCACAAACCAAGGGCGGTAGTAAATGGTGCACACCCCGCCCCCCGTGTTCTGCGATACTGCCTCCCCAAACTTCATAGAAGATGGTGGATGGCAAATCCAGGACCCTCGAAGGACGCTTCCCACATGCCCCAAACCTACAAGAAGGTGCTCCGGTGGAGGGACCGCAAACTGTGAGACTCCGGGTCGCGGGCTCTCGACCGCGCGATGAAGGGAAAATACTGTCATTGTGCCAGGGGCTAGCTGATATCACACCCTGATCGAACATCCGAACGAAGATTACAAATCGCGAGACAGCAGGAAGCCGGTGAACCTCGGAGAAAACGCATCAACAAACGCAGAGGGCGTTGTTTTTTGTGGTGGTCTACGTTCTTGTTTATTGTATATAAAGCCTTGCTGTGTGAAGAATCGGTTCTGGACACACCCTTGCGATGACATGGGAATCTTTTCGACCACAGCGAAGGAGGCAAAAGCAGACAGGAAAACGTGCCTCCAACCGCGTGATTCAAAAGCATCGAGCTCTGCACACTCACCACACGTACCTGTACATGAACCCTTCACATTCACAATGGGTGCTCTTCGTGATTCTTTCGGAAGAGCGTGCCCGCTGTCCACCGTAGTCGATTCGTAATCTGGAAGCCAGCGCCTTCCAGACGGATGGCCTGGACGAGCCGTGCATACCGTCAGTGCAGGATGAAAGCAATGGTAGCAAGGTTCTGGCGCATTGCGATCCCAGTGTACATGTGGCATCCTGAAGAAAACACGCATGCATGCTCCATTCTTCTACGTAGACTCTCCACACGCTGTGGACCTGCGGCTGTAAATCTGCAGTACCATACGACCTGCCGCAGCTTCAGGACACTTCTGCAGGTGAGCCCTCAAAGCAGTAACCGGGATCCGGGCACGTTGAGCAACCCCGCGAAGAAGTTGCCAGAAAGGTCCCTCACCAAGTCACCTGGAACCTGCGTTTCGAACCAGCTTCGACCCAAACCGCTAGAACTCTTCAATGCCGAGCCTTCACGGTGTAAGCAGCACCCGGCTGCAGGGCACGTGTAGGATGCAAGACAAGTGTCCTGAGCACAGCACGTCACACCGATAAGCTTAGATCCTGAAGTGGACTTGGGCCCGCACACGTCGCTGTGCGCACAATGTGCCAAGGGCACGATGTCATGTGCTGGATTGGAAGGAACTAATTTCGCCTGCACTGAGATTTTGGTTTCCACACACTGGACTTCGAGGATGCCGGCGCCTGCAAGCCACTAGGTCCAGTGCCAACCTGAGAAAGCATCAAAGATCCAAGGTGCACCCAACCCGGCTCTAACCTGCAGGCGCGGCCTGCACCGGCTCACTAAACGTTATCAGGATGGGATCGACTCCATCTGCTTGGTAACCAAGACCGACCTCGGACTGCTCTGAAGTGTGGCTCGAAACCACAGATGCAATGGGCCCCGGCAGTGCCGCTTTCGGGCTCGACCTTTAGAACCCAAGGCCTGCGAAGCGCAAGCAACATCCCGGAGAACAGAAGTAACGCAGAGGAGCCCATACAGCTTTCTCCAGCTATGGCAACACAGCTTTCTCCAGCTATGGCAACAGCACATGAAGCACTTCTGCTACATATTCCTGACACCTGCATCACACGCTGGCCGATAGAGAGTGGGTATGTCATGCAGCGGACAAGTCGACAGAAAGCGCAAACCTTGCAAGGCATGCCGTCTGTCGTGACAAGGATCTTCGATGGTTCGTTGCAATGATGCAGGAGCGACTCTGCAACAGTCTGCCTCCTTCGCCATTGTTCGTCCTGTTTGCTTCATTGGACATTCCTCCTCTCCCTGCATACCATTTGTCGTTTGCACACGTGGTAGGGCTCCACGTCACGAGCCCATCAGCAACGACCGCTGTCTTACGAGCAAGACCATTTCGCTTTCGCGAAAGTGACACCTACCCGTCAACAAGAATAAGAACACGACCGGTTGAAGAAGACCTTGACGCAAGACGCTGGGTCTCAGGCGGCACCGCATCTTTTGCAATGAAATAATAAGACGTTCCAAAAATGCCGGCAAAGGGGGTACCATCAGTGTCCTGCATGGAAGTGCAGCTGCAGCACTGACCGTGGAAGGAAACATCACGCTCGGAGATGACCAGAGTCCAATGTGTCCTCCACGGCTCCGGCAGAAACTGTGACCTGAGGCCAAAAGATGTTCTTGCTCAACAAGTGGTCTGAAGTATCGTGGCCATTCCTGAGACGAGCACTATGTACATTTCGCCATTTTGGCGAAAGGACCTGATAAGTGAAAAAGGACGCTTTGCAATGGGCTGAAGTCTGATCACGTGGACCGCAGCTTCTCAGGTGACCACTCGGTTGGCGTCACCGTCATGAGGTTGCCTGCAATTTTCACCTCCACTTACAGCGAGTTTCCTTCGACACACTCTTTTTTTCTTTTGCAAAATGTCCGCCTGGCCTGCGCGATGTCATTAACATTGATCTTGACCGGTTCCTGGCTGCAACAAAAGACAATCTCATCACTCTCATGCGTATGTTCCTATCAACCGAGGTGCAAAGGAATCGCTCAAAACGTTCGCATCTCGTTGTGACAAGGCAAACCTTGCATGCCATGAACAGTCACGGCATTGAATGCTGCAGCGAATGCTCAGATTCCGGCGGTGCTAGCGTCACCGTGCCGTCACCAGGTCGGATCAAGCTGGAAAAAGTAAGAGAGATGCTTGCTTCGGTGCCTTACACGCCAAGTCAAATCAGCCCATAGCACGGAACGCCGGTATGCCCTGCAAAAATCGCCACAATGCCATGTATTCAGCCACATCCGTCTAAGACTGGTGCCCACATTGTTCGCTCCGACAGCCGGACTGAACTGCTTCACAGTGAGCAGCTCCTGATGCACAAATGGTCGACGGCAATCACAGGCGATTGAACGGCTATTGGCCTTTTGCCTCCATTCGAGGTATTTCAGCGTAATTAATGCAAGATGTCTCGATTCCTCCTGCGCGTGAACGCCCGTCCAGCATGCCTGGAAAAACCATAGCGTGACGCACCTGGAAGCTTCCAATTCCAGGAGCTAGGGAAAGGCTCAACAACGGAGCCGAGCCAGGGACGTTCTTCTTCGGAATGGCCAAAGCCTTCAGAAGCTTCTGTGCAAAATTACAGGACACAGCCTGTCACTACTCGTCAAGAGTGCATTCTCTTAGCAAGGCTTGCCGCCTGTGAAAGGCAGAGCGACGGGTCAGCACCGGCCATGAGGCCTGCAAGAAGCCACAAAATGAAAAACGTCCAGATCCATCCGTCGTACACCGGGAACTCCGTATAGTCCTCTACAGCTACAAAGCTCGACGGTTTTGAGGTCTCAGCTGGTTGCCGGCGGCACTTGCCTCATTTAACGGTTGTGAAAGCTGGTGCTCTCTGAGACTCTTGTTCAGGGCCTTTGGCGGTGAAGATGCTGAGAATCTGACTTCCACGAACAGCGTCATCAACAGGCCTGGCAGGCAACTGAAGATATTAAACTTGGGGGCACAAGTGGTGCAAGCAGTCACACAAAGGCAAATGAATACAAACATGCCAGGCGTGCATGCAGGATACCACACGACCTAACCCAAACGAGGTGAAGCGCAGTTCACAACAGCGGTGCAAAGTACAAATCATACGAGCCAACCGCGCTTATGTCGAAGCTCGCGTGGCAGGTATGCGAACTTGTTCTGGGTGGCTCACATTCCACTGCAGCTTGGCACGTCCTGAGCAGCACAGGTCTACACTGTCACCGCTTCATCAATCTGCAGCTGAATGATCTCAGCACCACGCAAGCAACACTGCGATGAACAGAACAAATGTCCACCTGGTTGCACATGACATGCAACAAACAAATCCAAATCGTTTACATCCGAATTCAAGAGCTGTGCCTCCTGCAGCGCCGTGGCGCTCGGGCGGGGATTGCACAGCTACGGGTGCACGTCCGGTTGCGTTGGAACAACTGAAGCTTGGCTTGAACTTTCGATTGTTGTGCACGTAAACATGCTGCTTGTTTGAACAAATCACCTCAATGTCGTCTTCACTTCAAGCTCCTGCCTCAAGCATCTGTTACGTAATGAGGACCCTGATCACACAGGTTGGAGTTAGAAGCTTGTGAAACAAAGGATCGACTGCAAGGGTCTTCATATGCTGCCAGCCAATATTCAGCTTGTTGCAACGGTTGTCGATGAACTCCGTGACGCCATGACAAAGGAGAAAAGCCAACGTCGCACGATCATAAGTAGTCTTGTGCGATGCACACCAAAACAGCATTGTCCCGGAAACCATGTTCATTGTAAGTAGGCATGTTCGTACGCATGCATGCGCACTTGAATATATGCCTGTATGTACATATCCGTGTATGTGCCAATGGTGCATGTTTTGTGTGCTTGCGTGCGAGTACGTGCACATGCGCACGTTAGTGTGCATGTAAGTATGTAAATGTTAATGTGTAAGTATGTTAGTCTGTAAATATGTAAGTATGAAAGCATGTAAATGTTGCAAACATGCGGCTATGTACGTATGTCAAGATACAAGCATGCAGGCGTGTAAGTAAGTACGTAAGTATATAAGTAGGTAGGTAGGTATGTATGTCTGCAGGAATGCAGGCAGATAGGCGGACAGGTACGTAGGTATGTAGGTATGAAAATATAGGTAAGCATGTGGTATGATGTGTGTGTGTGTGTATGCATGCATGTTTGTATAAATAACATCATCTTCTGTATGCATGAAGATATGTCAATTACATTTTAAAATGGACATGAAACTTACAAACATACTGGAAAAACTTCGCACATCCTACGTCCTACATGCAACAAAAGACGACCTGCTAAATTTGAAGAGAAGGTGCCCGGATATGTCACATCCAACTGCCAAACCAGGCTTTTCAACACTTCATGATAACGAAAGCTGGGCCCACCTGCATACATGAGTCCAACTCGGTGCCCACTCGCACAGTCAGGCAAGTTCGAACGGACGACAGTTTCCAGCTGGGTTCAAGTTCAAACACCCGTAACATCGAAACTCAAAGAAACGATCTTTTGATTTCTGGTGGGCTTGTTTTACGGCTATGGTGGCTATGGTGCTTTGCTGTTTGGCTCCGCTTGACAACATACAGACAGATGGAGCTCCGACCACCAACGCAGACCCCCAACAACGAAACGAAAGCACTAGAAAGATCATGATGACCAGGAATTGCTTGCCAGCACGTGCTGATTCGTGCTGTCGTTGTCGCTGAACTTTGAGTAAATCTGCTAATCTTTCAGTTCAGCGCAGTGGTGGTCATCTGCAACAAGCTAAACAAAATTGATTATTTGTTTAAGAGCTTTTCTTCGTTTCAGCTCTGCCAAGTTCCAATTTGTTTGGCTTCTCTGTGTCTCTCCAGGTTTCCAAGTTTTCAGAACTGGCAGAAGATGCAGGCTTAGACTTGGGCTAACATGGTTACCAATATTGTGATGCTGCTTTCCCTTCCAATGTCATTGAAGACGGAATACAAACGTTCCAAACAATCGGTTTGTGAAGCTGTTTTCCAACAGACTTAATTGAGCGTTGTGGAGTCGCGCGAAGTTTTTAGCCAGCGAATCGTGGCCGCCAGCAAAAAAACAAGTGTTTTCTTTTGCTTTCTAGCCTCATTCAAACCCGCCAAAACAAGTCTGCGCCTTATCAAGCAACCGGCCAAAACTCTTCAGATCTGCAGTCTGGAAAGTCTTTGCAAATCTGATCCTTTGTTTTTTTTCAGTTCAGAGACGACGTCCACCATTTCACTTGTCACCTCTACCAGTACATGACGGTTGCTGAAAGCAAGTATGTTCTTGGTTCTTTGGGAAACCAATTTTCTGCGAGATTTCCAAAACTGGCCACACGGCGGAAACACTTTCTTGGCCATCGAACCAGCTTTTAAGTCAACAAACGATCGTAAAAACGCAGGATCTGCTCCATGCAAGCTCTTCGGCTCTTCGTCGTCAGAAGCAACGTAAAACGCCTTCTCCAACAGACAACAAGAATGCAAAAGCGTCTTCTTAACACACAACAAACAGAAAGCCACACGAAATCGCTTCATGGGGTTTAAAAGCGATGAAAATAAATTAAATGCAAAATAAAATGCCCTGCTTCTCCATACACAAGAAGGAATTCCACGCGCAATCGCTTCGGGGGGCTTTAAGCGAAGAAATACAAGGCAAAACACTTGTCCAACAGACAACAAGAATCAAAGAACGTTTTCGTTGCACACAACAAGGAGAAAGCCACACGAAATCGCTTCAAGGGGGGTTTAAAAGCGATGAAAATAAATTAAATACTAGCAACGCCAATTGAATACAAAATAAAATGCCCTGTTGCTTCGGAGAGCTTTAAGACAAGAAATACAAGGTAAACACCTTCTCCAACAGAATACAAGAATAACAAAACGTTTTGGTTGCACAACACGAAAAGAAACCACACCAAATTGCTTCAGCGGGTGTAAAAAATGATGCAAATTAAATACAAGCAAAAGCTTCGCTAGAAGCCACACGCAACAGACAACAACACAACAAAATACAAGTGAGTGAACACCTTAACACAAGAATAACGAGAAAGCCACGACACGAAATCGCTTCTGGTTTGAAACCGATCTTCTAGAACTTCGATCCTCGCAGGAAGTTCGAGACCCCTTCTCCCAGTTCGGAGAAGCAGAGCTCGAAAATGGTTGAGAAGCTTTTTGTCGGATTGAAAGAGGGCTTGAAAGGGACTCGAGAAGGGGGAGCTTGAGTCTAATTCTCGAAGAGCTTCCCTTCAAAGCCTTGATGAGAAGGTACCTCTTGTTTTTCAAGCCCCCTTAAAGCCCCTTTTCGAACCCTTTTTTTCTTCAATTGAATTCTGAAGTCAGAATTATCGAAGGAAGTGGAGCATATCTGATTTCCTCACAAAGCGATTGTTTGAGCAGGTACGACGGCACTTCCAAAACCACCCTGAAAATACACAGAAAGGACGATGCCACATCAGTTTTCAACAGCGCGCACCGTTCTTGGGCACCGGTGTCAGGCCCTGTTCCGTCCTGTGCTCCCCTGTCGTGGGCCTGCCTGGGCCCTATGAAAGCCTTGTCGACCCGTGTCACCCTTCAGCTCTACAAAGCCGACTTTTACTTTCAAGCTTGACACCTCCACAAATCCGCTCGCAGGGCTGCAAGGGAAGTTGACCTTGAAGAAAAGAAAATCAGCCGGAAGGGGCAGCTCTGCCATTCTCGGAAGCCAAGAACAACCAAAACGCATTTACCAAGATAGAGTTCTTGACGCAGAGAAGTGCGAACGATCTCGTTTGGGGACTTAAATGCTCCTTCCCAAACGGAACCCTGTGACAGTTGCCATTGTGGGGAAAACACACATTCCAAAATACATTGCAAAAAGAACAAAATACAAGACAACGCTTGAAATAAGAGATACAACACAAAATGATGCTTTTCTATTGTTTTAATCGTTGTTTTGTTTTGCGTATGCACAATCGACCTTGGAGTGTGCATTTTCAGACAGTGCGGACCAACACTTGCGTTTCTTGCCTCCAACCACAACAGCATCTGCTTTCTTGCATGCCACGGCCGTTAGCAACTGCCTCTCAAATCTTTTCGGTCTTGTGGCACCACTGCCTGGGACCGAAAATGTTCCTGCTTGTGATGTCAAGATGAAATGCCGCCTTGGATGCGACCGAGCTAGGGCCCTCTACAGTTTTCTCCAGTGCTCAACACTTCCCTTTCCCCCGCCTTAAAAAGGAAAAATCCAGAAGTGTGTCGACTTTGTCGGTCCCTCCCACAAAGACTTGGCTGCAGGGGAAAAGAAAGGTTTGCAGCGGCTTCAAAAGGCTTAAATGGAAGGCTCAAGGGCTTGAGACGAGCTTCAAGGAGAGCAAGGTTTGCAATCAGAGGACTTCCCAGGTCTGTACACAGTTTCGCGTTCCAGTTACAGCCTTTGCAACTTTGGTGCAGTAGGCCAGACTGCTTCCTTGGAGAATTTTTGTATGTTTGCAATCAAAAATGGCACTTCTCTCTCTGGGGGGGGTGTTCCAG